GCACGCAGCTGCGGAATTCTCGTGTAGCATGGGTTGGTTTTTGGAGTGTGCAGTGCATAAGGTGTTGGCAGTAAATGTTGCTCGCGTGGCAGGCAGGCAATCAATACGTTTCCCCAGGTATGCTAATTCTTTGTGCTTATCCGTCGTTTTTTCCAGAAAGTAAGCAGTCCCTATGGGATGACCGTTGTATTGTTGCTTGTTCGACAGGTTGGAGCCGCTTAGGCAGGGCTGCTGTGGTGGCCAGTATTATGTCTGGTTTCCGACTTGGTGGATGCAGGGGATAGGTATAACGGCAATATCGTGGCATCCCTATCTTGTTGTGAGGCGTCCGCCTTTCTAGACGACCCCGCAAGGGTAAAGGGTTGTGCCAGATTTTGCTAATGCATGCGGCGACGTCTGTGTGGCCGAGGGAGTTCGCCTTGCGTGATGAGCCGGAGAAGCACTGCCGATGCCTGAATGCCAATGTAGAGAGTGTTGGCGTGTGCGCATGTGTGTGTGTGTGTGTGTGTGTGTGTGTGTGTGTGTGTGTGTGTGTGTGTGTGTGTGTGTGTGTGTGTGCTCGTGTTCGTTAGTTCGATCGCCCGAACCGACGCGGAGGCAACAAGAGCGGCATTAGCTCCATTCTGTTGTGCGACCAGCATACACAGGCGTGAAAGCACGCATACGCAGATTTGTGTCATGTGACCAGGCCGTTAATATGCATCGGTGCCGTTTGCTAAAATGGTGTTGGCTGCAGCCAAGGGCGCTATGCAGCGTGGAATTGGATCCACGTGGGGTTGTAAATGCCGCAGCAGGCCCTCAATGGCCTTTACATATGGCGTCAAGCATGTGGACTGCTCATGAAGCACTTCGCATATATCTTTTCCAAGGCCATGTGTTGAGGCATGGCTGTCCGTTCCTGTTTTCTGCAGATAGGATATTTTGATTTCGGTTTCGTGGCAAGTCCATGATCTCCTGTTTCCTCCTGGCTTGCCTAGCAATGTTGCTTTGGTCTTTGGTGTATGGGTCTCCGTCTGAAGCATTTGACGTCAGCATATGGCAACTTGGACANAACTTGGACACCACAATGTGTAGGGGAATATTAGTTTTTGCGGCCATAGAACTGCGCGCAGCTGCGGAATCCTCGTGTAGCATGGGTTGGTTTTTGGAGTGTGCAGTGCATAAGGTGTTGGCGTCAGATGTTGCATCTGGTTGAAAGCAGTTTCACGATGCCTTCGAAGATGTGCGGGGGCGTGAAAACCAGCGTGAAAGGTTGCAAGTCACGCTGCGCATTGTGCATAGGTGGCGTTTGCTCATGTTTCTAGGACCTTGGTCAACAGGGCTGAGGAAAATGGACTTGAATCGATATTGTTCTGCGCAATTGCAGCGGGATGCTGTGTCGATTGTCGATAGCGTCAGGCGCGTGGGTAAGCTACCGAGCATCCTGCATATTTCGCCAAAGGTCTTGGGTTGAGGTGTTATTGTGTGATAGCCGGCTTTCCAACAGCAACCTTTTGATCATGCTTTTCAAATGACGTGCGATTCTGGGTCGCCTGCGGCTTGCTGCTGCTTATGGCTACCGTCCGTAATGTGTGGGTCTCCGTCTAAATAGTTCGACAGTAGCCTGTGGCGTTGTAGGCGGCGTCGCTACAAGTGAAACATAGTCCCCGCTCCTCTAGAGCTGTGTGGAGCTGCGGTAGGCTGATGGAACTTTAGCTGTGTCCGAGTATACCATGAATAAGGTGTTGGCATTGGGTGTTGGATCAGTGGAAGGCAGCCCATAAATGCCTCTCGAAAGAGAGGCGCGTTCTTTGCGAATATGCGTTATTGTGTCCAGTCAGTAAGCAGACCATGTGGCGAGATGGGTCTAGGTCAACGTATGTATGTACCACAGTTTGATGGCTTTAGCTCAACTGATTGCGTTACCCTGGCGTTTTGCTTGGGACGAAGTGGCTGCATGGATGCAGAGAGTGTGTTGTAATGGCTAAAGCAGGCCGCGTATGCTTGCGCTATGTAGGGTGCCTCTATGCTTTTCAGGGNTGTAATGGCTAAAGCAGGCCGCGTATGCTTGCGCTATGTAGGGTGCCTCTATGCTTTTCAGGGCAGACGATTGATGAAATGGTAGATGCGCCGCATTGTTTGACCGTTCCGACGCTGTGCAGAAGCATCAGGATATGCAGCTGCAGATCCACACAGTGGAAACCTTGATGGGCGTGATCCGTTGCATACACGCTATGGCGTGCATTGCCGTAGCACGCGGGACATTTGAATTCGCTCGTGCATTCCTGAAAAGCCCGGAATATCGTACGCTGGTACGTGAAGCTTTCTCGATTTCTGCAGGCGCCCGGCTACCCCAAACTTGCGGTGTGCATACCTTGCCATAGGCAGTGCGTTCGAACGCCTTTGGGTGTGTCCCGCGTCAGCATTCAGATGTACGGTTTGCTTTTGGTTGAGCGGTGTATGACCTTGTGCGGCGCTTAGCGATCGGCTCCAGCATGTGCCAGTTGAGCACCAAACGCTGGAGGCAATGGCGAGATTTCCCTGCTTTAGGGCAGAGTGACAAAACGTGCGTGGAGTCGCGCCAAGGAGATACAAAGCTCGGTGCGTTGGAAGAATGTTTGCAACATAGATTGGCAATCTGCCCAGGACGCTAAGGGCAGGTGCGGCTTTGTTGTGGGCATGCGTTGTTGTATTCAGCCGGTAAGCGGACAGGGCGGGACACACTTAGAACGTTGTTCATTATGCATCCCGCATGCGTGGACGGAATGACAGAGAGGGGCTCAGTAGAATGTTTGTGCTGTCGCTTTCTCACTAATGCCATGCGGCTGCACGCATTCTTGGAAAACCCGCTTTTGGCTTCATGCGTCGGCCAATTCGTCGACAAACACTTTGTATGTGTTGTTGAAGATCGTGCGTCGAAATGTTACTGTATGGCATCCCCTTCTGCAGAAGCAAGATTTGGATATCGTCTTTTGAGCGAGGGGCAAGCACTTGCGCTGCTTCATGGCTTTTACCAACATTGCTTCGGCGTTTGCGGTATATATGTCTTTGTATTAATAGTTTGGCGAGGTTATGAGGCAAGCTTAGTCTCCGTGGCTTTAGAGCTGTGCAGAGCTGCGAGTGTCTCATGTAGTTTGGG